CGTGCAAGAGAAACAGATGTTGTGTCTCTTACACGGTGTAAGATAAGACAGGTGGTACGAAATACCACACCGTCTGTCCACACCTCTGCCGAGTTACAGGAGCTATTTACACAGACATTTTTTGATTATTTCATTGTGAACGTTCATATTGAAAGTGGGGTTCCATTGTTCCGCTAAACTCGAATTGAGTAAACAGACTGAACAGACCTATACTGTGTTCTCTGTCAGTCAACATAGGAGCTATTCACATAGACATTTTTTGCTTATTTCATTGTAAACGTTCATATTGAAAAGGGGGTTCCAATGTTCCGCTAAACTCAAAGTGAGTGAACAGACTGAACAGACCTATACCTCTTTTTCTATCAGGCAACAAAGCCTATGGTCGCAACTATGTTGACTGACAGAGAACACAGCATAGGTCTGCTCAGTCTGTTTACTCAATTTGAGTTTAGCGGAACAGTAGAACCCCCTTTTCAATATAAACGTTGAACGTTCATAATGAAATGAGCAAAAAATGTCTATGTGAATAGCTCCATAGTTGCGACCATAGGCTTTGTTCACTTTGTTGCCTGATAGAAGAAGAGGTATAGGTCTGTTCAGTCTGTTCACTCAATTTGAGTTTAGCGGAACAGTAGAACCCCCTTTTCAATATGAACGTTCACAATAAAATAAGCAAAAAATGTCTATATAAATAGCACCACAATTTTGTAGCAGTACCAGTTATTCACCAGATGGATCAGTGTCGAAAAAAGAGTATATGTATGTAGAATGCATCCATATATATATGTGTATACATTTGTGACCGTTTCAAAATGTATGTATACATATACTACCTTTTTGACACTTATCTACCTGGTGGAGAACTTGGTACTGCTACAAAATTGCGATAGTCCGCACAAAGAATAGAGGTGGTACTTCGTGCGACCTGTCTTATCTTGCACCGTGGTCTCCTACTTATGCTTCAGCAACACACGTAAGCAGCGTTGGGTTAGTCGGATTCAATTTCGGAAATTTTTCCCCAGATCGTATATATAGCTGTACGATCTAAATAAATAATTATTAATAAATAACACAAGCGCCTATTACCCGGTGACCCCGGGCACTTACTGGCCTCTCTATTAAATAATAAAATAACTATTAACAGCACAAGCACCTATCTCCTGATGACCGTTGTGCTTTTAATTAATAATATGTATCGTTTAATAAAGCGACCAGTAAGCGCCCCAGGTCATCGGGTGATAGGCGCTTGTGTTATTAATTGATACCTTATTATTTAATAAAGAACCCAGTTAGCGCCCCGGGTCATTGGGTGATAAGCACTTGTGTTATAATATATATTACAATTTTTAATTTTCGCGCGTCTTTGGCAATGCCCTTTTACTGCTGTGCTGTCTGCTCGACGGAACATTCTCCCTAGATCGTTTAGCTATATATATCATCTAGGGAATAAGTTCCGATATTATATCCGCCTAACCCAACGCTAGCCGTGATGATCAAAAGTTTGCTGCCAACAGCGTTGGATTAGGTGGATTCAATATCGAAACTTTTTTCCTAGATCGTGTATATAGCTATACGATCTAAATGAATAATTATTAATAAATAACACAAGCGCCTATCAGCCGATGACCCCGGGCCCGGGCGCTTACTGNAAGCGCCTATCACCCGATGTCCCAGGGCACTTACTGGTCGCCTTATTAAATAATAAAGTTTTATTCAATAGCACAAGCGACTATCACCTAGTGACCCCTGGCACTTACTGGCCTCTCTTTTAAATAATAAAGTATTAATTATTACCACAAGCGCCTATCACCCGATGTCCCACGGCACTTACTGGTCGCTTTATTAAATAATAAAGTATTATTCAAAATAGCACAAGCGCCTATCACCCAATGACCTGGGGTGCTTACTGGCCACTGTGTTAGATAATAAAGTATCCATTAATAGCACAAGCGCCTATCACCCGATGACTTGGGGCGCTTACTGGTCGCTTCATTAAACGATATATATTATTAATTAATAGCACAACGGTCATCAGGTGATCAGTGCTTGTGCTGTTAATTAACATTTTAATATTTAATAGAGAGGCCAGTAAGCGCCGTGGGTCATCGGGTGACAGGCGCTTGGGCTATAAATTAATAATACATATCATTTAATAAAGTGACAAGTAAGCGCCTTGGGTCACTTGGTGATTGGCGCTTGTGTTAATAATTAATATGTTATCATATAATAGTGTAGCCAGTTAGTGACCCGGGTCATTGGGTAATAGGCGCTTCTGCTATTAATTAATATTTTATTATTTCACAGAGTTGCCAGTAAGCACCTAGGGATATTAGTTCATAGGCCTTACTGGCCTCTCTATTAAATAATAAAGTATTCATTATTACCACATGTTTAATCCGATGACCTTGCACTAGGTGGCTCGGCCGCTGTATAAAAAAAGGAAGTTACTTTATTGTGAAACACTGAATTGAATTGCATGTATGTAATTACATTTAACACTACACTGGATATGAGGTTATCCATAATAACACAAGAATTTGAAGAGAAAAAGGACACGAAGCCAGAAAAACCCTTTTTTATTTAATAACTACAAACTGAATGAACATGATGAAACAATAAGCACGCACGCACGAGAATCACAGTAATTCAAACAAACGAATGACTAACGTATAACTAAACGCATTGGAAATAACAAATCAAAAGATTTCACCGAGTGCACTCGAGAATAATTAAATCTAGGCGGTAAATCCACTAAGGAGAGATAATCGCCGGTCGAGGCAAGCGAATTTACCAGAGAGATAGGTTAAGAGGTTTAACCTTTGAGGTTCTTTAGACTTAGATTTGCTACAGAGCTCCGCACGCAATTCTACCAGCGTTAGGTTAGGGGGATTCAAAATCGGAACTTTTTCCCTAGATCGTATACATAGCAGTACGATCTAGGGAGAATGTTCCGTCGAGCAGACAGCTTAGAAGTGAAGGGGCATTGCCAACCCTACATATTGATATTTTGTAATTACATATGTAGTTTCATCTGTATTTACACTTGTAAAGTCACTTGGAATTCTACTTGGAATTCCACTTGGAATTCCACATGGAATTTTGGATTGGAAACTTCAAGAGTCATTCCAAGTGGCATTCTAAGTGGAGTTACAAATGACCACCGAAGATACATTGTTTTCTTTTTTAAAATAGTTAAAATTGAAATTTTAAGCAGTATAATGGCCATGATAGGTGTTATCGTCCATATAGTAACAGAGATTAGTAGGAAGATTGCTGACTGCCCAGCGTTGAGTAAGGCGGATTCAATATCGGAACTTTTTCCCTAGATCGCATATATAGCTATATGATCTACGGAGAATGTTCCGTCGAGCAGATAGCACTGCAGTGGAGGGGCATTTCCAAAGACGCGTAAAAATTAGAAATTGTAGTATTATAACACAAGTGCCTATCACCCAATGACCCGGGGCGCTAACTGGCCACTCTGTTAAATGAATAATTATTAATAACACAAGCGCCTATCACCCAATGATCCGGGGCACTTACTGGCCACTCTTTTGAATAAATAATTCTTAATAACATAAGCGCCTATCACCTAATGACCCGGGGTGCTAACTGGCCACTGTGTTAAATAAATAATTTGTAATATCAAAAGCACCTATCACCCAATGACCCAGAGTGCTAACTGGCAACTCAGTTATATGANCTCCCTGCCTTAGACACAGGAGAGGTGTGGGCTCAGATTGACTCGATCGCGCTTATATACTAATCGTGCGGGAATTTCACCGCTTGACGGGAGATAATTATTAGGGGCTTGGCCACCTGGCGTTTAGAGCCTGAAGCACGAGAGACGTGAGACGCCACATATGGATTGAGCAGATGGCGAGATGAAAAACGACGATTATCCTGCTAAACAGCCTCAGTACGCGCCGTGGGATTGCACCCTCGCGACAAGAATGTGGAAGGCTAAGACCAGAACCTGGCCAGGCAATCCTTATTGCCCTTACATTGATGCCTGGGCCTGGGCAGGCTTAAATGCAGATTTTATGACACTGTGTAATGAGGTTGACCGCAGGCTATGATCAGGGCCTGGCCAGGGTTAATGTATTTATGTATAATAACATATACCTTCTCTACAGTAACTACAGTAGAGGTATGGTAAGCATAGAGGTATAAGAAGAGTTACATGGGGATAGCTCCCTCTATTCTTATACTTCTATGATGGTAAGTATACGGATATTCAACTCTTGTGGATCAAAACAACACGATAAATAATTTTAGCAAATGATAAGGAAAAATCATATGCATGGATTATCGCTGCTTTTAAACTGTTTTAAGTGACATGCAAAATTTAATTTTTTAGAACATACAAGAAAATGATGTTTTTATTTTTATAAATTAAAGCTTTTTAATTGTTACATCGTTATAGCTACAAACTCAGAAATACTATCTTGATCATTGCATTAATTATAATTTACTTGAAAATTGGTCTAACGTTGGTTATTTGTTTTACTCGCATTTGTATAGTAATCATGCTGTATTAAGCTTAATTTTGTTTCTAAAAATTTGGGTTCTCTCAGAATTCTTCCTTTTAGTTGATAAATTTTTTAACTCAAATTTTGTTCAATGTATATTTTAGAAACGAATGAACAAGGATAACCAAAAAGAATATTAATGGAAGTGTGTGTTTGTATGTACATATACATGGAATATGCATGTATGTGTCACGTCTCGAAGGTCGAGGGTTATACAGTACACCTATATATACAGTACAATATCAGGGCCTGGCCATTCCCTTTCGATAACCTTATTACAATATTGGCCAGGGCCTACCCAGGGCCAGGTGTTCAGCTACCGCTGTCTCATCTGTGACTAAGGCTGCAGTCACATGGAGCGCAAAGAGTGACAATTCTATCCTGCACACCCTATAGCGCTTTATGTGACTGCAGCCTAAGCCGTAAACTTTTGACGGAAGAAATCCTGAGCCGTGTAACGTCTATCGTTATGTATTCCTTGATCCGCACCACATGATAAGTAACTCGTACCCAACCTGTCTCTTTCGTGTGTACTGAATTTGGAGAACACGTGTTCTGTAGTAAACGGTGAGTAAAATATATTTTTTAACTCTAGTTTGTAATGAGAAATCTATTTATATAACGTTCTGTGATTCGTTACGCTTCTAGTGGGCATACGTTATGCCTCTTTGGAAGTATTGTAAGTAATGGAATGAATATGATCAATTTTGGCAACCTTTTTTTTTTTGGTCAACGAAAGTATTGATTTGAATTTATCTTGAACTGTAGAGTTAGCCAACTCCTTCATGATATGATTTTAACTGAATTGATAAAACTAGTTTTATCGAATTGATGATATAGGTAGTTTTTGTTAGTCATTGATTTTATTACGACCTTGTTAAATATGCAGGCTTACCACAGCAGTCAAGTACTTTATAGTTCTTAATTTGTTAGTGAAATGCATGTATTATGAAGTTGTTAAAGCTTATGAGTACAATCATAGGTTTGTCAATTTTTATAATTTTGCCGTATTATTGTAAAGTCAAAGGAATACATACATGACTGTGAAGAAAGTGTAATCTCAACCAATTCTTCTAGTCCAGTGTATTACCGTTATCTAAATAATCTCAAGCACAAATCCTGAATATACAGTTTCCCTTTTTTATGCAATGTTTTCTTTATCTCTGTTGTGTAATGCCCTAGAATTCTAGATTCCCCAATAATTTTTTTTTTTTAACATGTATTTAATGTGGCATTTTGACATTTTTTTGTTTGTTCTTATCCAATGCCCTGAACAAATTTCACATTATTTCAGATATTAATAATATTTAATTTTCTAACTTTATAATTTTTGGTATTTTACAGTAACTATTCATTCCATTAATCTATTATGCTGCATTTTTATCGTTAAAATGGCGGTTTCAGCATATTAATCCTACTTATAATTTGACCTAAATCACTGTATGACTTGATCATGAGCGATAACATGATCTAGTGCAGTAGGAATAATCTTTGTGATATGTGGCTCCAGACAATCAATTCTTTCAAGCTTTTACGTTTATGCTTACACCAACTAGAATGCCTTTAAATTGTTAGTACACTATACTTTTATTACCAAATTTTTTGCCAACAATTCATAAAATCTAAAGTATTGTTTAACTTTTCATGCTAGACCTTGTATTAAATGTGAGAATGATAGTAATTGCATGACTAATCATTTTTTTGTGTAATAGTTTACTATTTTTAATCTTATTTAATAATTGTAATGCACTAAATGTCAACAGTGCTAATTGTGTAGGTATCCAAAGCTAAATAAATAATTTTTAATTTTAAAAGCATAAATTCTTCGACCAAAATTGAATTTTCACGAACAGCTAGTCTCATATTATTATTAAGTTTCAATTAGCTAATGTATCGTTGATATCCTCCATCTTAGACTTTATACAAACACGCGTTAGTTTTATATTCCTCTCGGTACAGTGAGACCCTTAAACCTAGAGAAAATTCATCTCCCATGCCGATAATTGCAGCAAATATATTTTCTTAAGGTTTTCTTGATGCCTTGAAGATTTTTAATATCCATTTTAGAAACATTTTTTTAGTTTTTTTTGGCATCTTGTATATAAATAAATAATCTTAGTTGCATGTTACATTAAACATTAATTACTATTAAGTGTATACATTTTCTCTCCTTAAATACTACAGTGTTTAGCGTAATGGTACAACTTTTGCATGGATGGACATGAGACGTGGTTTTCATGTATAAAAAATATTAATAAATTATAATATAAACTTGTAAAGTTTAAAATCACACTTTGAATACATCACTCTGGTTTTTGCTCTTCAACCAATTAAGAATGCCCGTTATGGTACAATATAAATTGTATAGAAAGTACTGTGCGGCCAAATTTTGTGGTTTTGCTAACAATTTTTTTTAATTTCTTAGAAATACATTTGTTTACTTAATTTATACATTTTAATGTAATTTTCGCCGCACAAGCATAATTGTGACCTCAAGGCTCTCAGGGAAACCTTGGTTGGATGGAGGTTAAGCGGCAAACACTATTTTGATTTCATTTTGAAATAATTTTATTTAAGTTTCTCAATAGACATGTTGATACAAAAATATTTTTTTGGGTAGTAGTCATTTAACCTAAATTGCAGTTGAAAAACTTTCGTATTCGCATAATCTGCTGATAAAACTACACGTGTGAAACTTTTACTTAAAAAACTAGTTTTTATACTTTTTCAAGCGCTTATAACTTGAAAATAGCTTTTTCTAACACTATAAAGATCCTTGAACACGTTCTTTGCGTTTAATATTTTGTTTTCTTGCGATTATTAATTGATTTCTTTGCCAAGTTTCCATTTCGAAGTTTGCGATACAGACTGGTCCAAACTTCAAATGTAAACATTTTTAATTTTCTAAAAATCTCTTTCTAAAACTATTTCTCGTCGTTTTAAATTACTTGAGTCCAACAGTAAGCAAAATGTTCCATGACTGTTCATTCCATTCAGAAGTAATGATGATGCCATACTAAACTAGACTATCATGAATGGCAAATCTGTCAAAAATGACAGATCCCAGTTTTAAAAATGCATAATGAAAGGTTTGATTATACGATAGAGTATTAAATCATCAAATCTTGATTTATTCTCCGTATTCTAAAAATTAATATCAATATTCGTGCAATTGACAAGAAATGCTTATTATTATTAGAACTTTAAGTAAAAACTGAATCATCAAAGTGCCAAACAAATGGAAAACAACTAATGTTTGCTCCAATATTTCTCGTAAGAAAAAAATATCAACTTTTCAATAAATAACTTGATACTTACTTCCCACAACAAAAATAATTTTTTTAACAATAAAATCCTAAACCATCAAAAAAAAAAAATCGTGAACATTACAGCATAGATCATGCACCTTACAAGCGTTAATAAATCTGATTGTGGTATTTATATCAATTTCCCAATTAAAATGCTGAGCAGTATTCGCGAAGGTTTACCCTGCATAAGCTTGATTTAAAAATTGGAACAATTATTCACTTGATACAAAATTTAAGAAAAGCCAATAGCCAAGTATAATCTGGGTCCAGCCATGTGTGCGTGTGGCCACGTAAGTGAATTACTGTAATTGTTGCCATTCGATTATTACTAACAAATATCTGAAACAAATTAAGAAATCTGGTTTTTTACTTCAAAAATAATTTGGTAACATTCTATGACACATTTCGAACAAAAAACTAATTGGAATGTATCCTAGACCCTATAACCTGTGCCAAACTCATAGATTTTGAGTAAAAAATACCGTGAATCTCAAATTGGCAGTCAGAGTTAGCGGTCAGCCAGGGGCAAACAGGTGGTGTCAAGGGACCCCATGGCTTAACAAAATAACGAATATCTAGGCCAGTCACAGCTCAGAACAGCTATGAAAAGTATAAAATAAGATTTTATTTAATGCCTTTATTTAATGCCAGTATACGGCAAATGAAGAAGATAGTAACAAATTATTAAAACAAATAAATTACTTTTCTGTACAAACTCATTTATAACTCAGCCTAGCATAATCCCAGACACGTTACATTCAAAATTCATGCAATTTTATTTGTATATTAGAGAATATTCATACCAATACGAGTAAAACATAATTTAAAAAGTTATAAATAAATCAAATGGGCCAAGTCGTCGATTTTTCATGAAAAACTAAATTCATTAAACTTGTTGAACATCGATTTTCTGTGACAAATCGACTATAACTGAGCCCAGTATGATCCCAGGCATTTGAAATTGCACGTATATGCTCTCTTATTGGTACATTGTTAGCACATATTTTTGCCAACGTAGGTGAAAAGCTGTTGAAAAAGTTATAAACAAATTAAATAGGGAAAATGTCGAGTTTTTTGTGAATTATCGGTGATAACTTGGCCTAGCACAATATAATTCGTATGTTGAGGTTATGGTACTACTCTAAGTTGGCCCTGTAAGATATTGAAATATCATTGTATGATATCCATCAGTGCTGCTCATAATTCATTGAAACAGCATGTAACGGTTCCAGTCATTTTTATACATATTTTCTTAATGTCTATCCATGTACTTAAACAAAATAATGTTAATTGTATAACTTGTGTACACAATCGGAAATGCCTCAGATTTCTTATAAGCTATATTGTTTTAAAGACAAGCAACGCTCTTCCTATTACATTTGTTTACAGCTTTTTAAATAAAATTTTACCTTAATCATTTATGTATTGACTGCTGTAATAGTATGCAGGCTACAGTTAAAATCACTCGGGTAAAGCTCAGCATAGCGGTAGACGATTATTTGCGAACAAGCTGATTTTTTTCTCTATTTATTTTTTCACATCTTATCTTAAAACATCTCACACTTGTTTGTTCGAATAGTTACTTGCGTTAAATAGTAGTATGAGTAATTATGTCAAATTAAAGATCCTCCAAATCATGCTGAGTCTAATTATAAACAATTTATTTCGAAAAATTAATATTACACCATTTTAATTTAATTACAACTTTTACGATAAATTTTAATCCGTTTTGGCGATAACATATACGAATAAACTGTTGTGTGAATTATAGCAATTGTGACACAATAGAAAAACAGACGTACATTTATGATAGCAACGCTCAACACCTTTTTCGGAAAATAACCATTTGAACATTTGATATGAAACTCTCACGCCTACACCTTTGTAACTTACTTTATAGACTAAATAAGTTCATAAATAGTTTAATTACTGTGACACAGAATTCTATTTGACATAGGATCACCCTAAGCCCCAAAATTGATGCCAAATGACCTGTTGTACGCTATTATGAAGAACACCAATTTATGTTTTTGTTACATCACAATTGCTAGAACAAATAGGACTTAAAAAGTTTTTTCATCTATAATTACATGCCTTAATGTAAAATTTGAGTTGAGGTGAGGTGAAAAAAATTCAATATCAGCTGAGCAATACATAGTCAAAAATCGAAAAAAATGCTTTTTTTTAGCTTGAAGAATTTTTAACTCAATATCAATGAGGTTTATGGATATACATCCTAACTAGTTTTTGTTTGGAACA